GGGGGGGGGGGAAATGCAAAGGAAACGAAAAGGGTGCTCCCGCTCTCGATCCGAACAGCCCCCACTTCTCTTCCACCTCCCCCTCGCTTACCTGACACCGCAAGCCTCTCGCCCACTGCACCAAAGACCATGAAGCACCACACCGCCAGCATGATTTTCACATATTCCCTCCGATTACCGCATGGAGAACCCCCGCCAAATGTCAAGAAGCCCGGCAGGTGGAGAGGAGGAAAAAGATCAAAAAACGCACAGCAGAGATGATGGCGAGGATCCAAAGTTAATCTGCTAAACATCTGATGATGCGCGTCCTCTCATCTCTCCCCCCTCTCTACCTCTCGCCCTCTCAGCTCCGGTCAGCACTGCCACGGAGAGTCCGGATTTGCATATGAGAAAGATGAAAAATGAATCGATCCGGGCCTACAGACTGATCGGCGATGGGATCGGCGAGGAACAAGAGAGCGCGCATCGCGGATGCATCGCTCCGCAGCGCTGCGCCGATGCGTAGTAGGCGCAGGGTGTATGGCTGGAGTTGTATATGTGTGTGTGCGGTATGCGGAAACGGAGGGATGGGAAACCGAGCAGAACTGCGAAGGGTCTGCGGCGAGGAGGACACGTGGGGCCGCGGTACCCTCCCTTATCCCGCGCAGCCTCCTCCTCCCGTTGCCATGCAGCGCTGAGCAGGGAGAGGATGCGGCAGTCCGACGGCTGGAGAACACGGCCTAAGAAGAGCCAGAAAGGAGATCGGCGAACAAGTTCATTCAGGTTGTTAATGTGCGGATTTGAACGGCGGAGACACACACTTCAGGCTGCCATCTCGACAAGGCTGCAGGTCTGCAGGGGATTAAGGTGTGTCCCGACGATCAGGCGAAAACAACCCTGACTCATCGCTGCCTTAACGCTTCAAGTTTGTTTCTGTGGTAACAAGCTCAGACAGTTCAGATTCATTTAGACTTTTCCAATAAAACGTGAATCAAAATTCTTTAATGTGTGATCTACTTTTTTTCTCCTGAAACTGAAATACAATTGTGAAAAAAAAAAAAGTATCACAAAGCCTTGACAGGCGTTAAATGGATTAACAGCGTCAGGTAAGGAAAACTGAAATCGTTTTCTCATTTGCTGATGCACAGGAGGAACATATATCTGCAAACAGAAACGAAAATCTTTCAAACTTCTCTCTAATTAGACTATTGCATAAAATATTAAATCGGATAATGTATAGAGAAATATTGTATTATTATCATTATGATATGTTTTATGCCGTTAAGAGGGAGACATCTGACTTGACAGTTGTCCAGCAGTAGCAGTCACTGCTCGACAAGAACAGCAAGCCACAAAAGGTCGTTGCTAAGGAAAATGGCTGTGCACAGAGTGATGCATCCAAGCATACCATGTTGACGGAAAGTTTAATGCAAGGAAAAAGTGTAGCAGTAAAAGCTGTAAAAGCAGTAGGGATGACAGAAACCTTCAGAAAATGCGTGAAGCAAAGTCCATTTGAAAGTTTGGGGACGGTGGAGTGTGGACGGAGTCACTTTTTCCAAGATTCACCAGACTCAGTGGCTAAGGGGAAATGTCGTTTGCTGACAAACGTTATGGAGCTACTGATTTTTTTTTCCTCAGCATAACTTGGCAGCTAGTCACACACTTGATATCTTGGCTTTAAAGTCCAAGATATCAATGTCATTGATTGGCCAGCAAAATATCCTGGGTTTCCTGAGGCCTCAGCGCAACTACAGGTTGATCACTTCCATGCCACACTGCATGGATGCAGTAACTCATACAAGGAAACCACAACCATGGATTGACTGCATACTTAACATTTTTCATGTTCATATAAAGAACATGTGGGATGTCTTCTGTGAAATCTTATTTTATATTTTAAAGCAAGGTATCTTGGCATATTCTTATAAAAAATAATGCCAGAACGAAGTCAAATACAGCAGTTTTTACATTCATTCCCAGTGAAAATGACACGGTTAGAGTAATAAATGACAGCCTATTTCTGATTTCAGTATGGCTGCTGCACAGCTCAGATAAGATGGGTAAAAGTAATACTAATCTGGATGTGCCACTACATAAACGTCATGCAGTGGACAGAAAATTCTACACATCTCTCAGGATTTCATACTTAAGCCAGCACTTAATTGATTGATCTTAATCCATGAACTTTAATAATCTGCACTGTGCTGATGTCTCAGTCTTGTTTTCTCCAGGCTCTAGTCCCCTGCTGAGGGAAATTCTTCTAGTATTCAACCTAAATACTTCCCACTAATGGAGGCACATGTGCACTCTGAATATTTAATTGAGCCTCTTGAGACATCACTGGGGAAAGAAGACATGCATGAAGATGGTGGCAAGGCAAATTCATCAGTAAGGGATATTTATTTTTATTTTTATATATGAATCCTCCCAGAAAATAAAATCAACTTCTGGAATATGATGACACTGTGCCAGAGGTGATTGAAAGTCAGTATTTTTTATTTTTTTTACCAAATCGGACTGAGATACAGTGCAGAGTAAACTCCAGTCCTCGAAGGCTGGTCTTCTGCAACTTTTAGCTGTGTCCTTGGTTTAACACACCTGTATCAAATTGGAGAATTACCTCCTCAATATGCAGTCAAGTTCTCCAGAGTCCTGCAAATGATTTGCTTCACGCGTTTTGCAGAGACAACTCTGGAAGTTGCAGGATGCCTGTGGCTTAAAAAGCATTGCTTCTTAAGTTTGGTTCTCAGGGACCCAAGCGCTGAATATTTTAGATGTTTCCCTGCTGCCAAACACCTGACCTGAATGAATGGGTGACCAACAGGCTTCTGCAGCACCTGATACATCTCTGCTCCATGCAGGAGCAGAGATGCATCTAAAACATGAAGGACACTGACCCCCCCAAAGACCAGGTTTAGAAACACTGGTGTAAAGGCTCAGGAAACATTTGCAGGTATTTTAAGGCATTCTATTTTTTTATGAGAAAGTTAATTTCCATTTGCTGTAAGCAAAAAAAAAAAAAAATCAATCACTAGAAATAAAAGCATCACGGACATCACTCCAATAATGTGTAATGAGTCAACGTAGTTCTTTCACTTTTCTATGCATTTTGATTTACTGAGACACACTTGTGATCGGGAAAGTGATACACTGCCCTCTATCGTTCACAAAGCTACATTACACTTACATTTAAAAAAAGAGCATAGGCAGATTTTGAACTTTTCTTCAAATGTAACGTCGTCTGGGAATCGAATCAACTTAAAACAGTTGGCTGAAATAAAAATAATTCTTTACTTGTTTAGTAATGCAAGAAAAGAGTTTTTTCTTCGGGTTATGAGCATGTAAACCATGTCAACACCTTGTGGCGTTTACCTGATGTCACCTCACTTCATGAGTCCCTTGTGGGAGGCATGCTAAGCAGCTGGTGTCTGATGTCTGTGTTCCCCGTACGTTTAATTAGGTTAATTAGTTTCAGCTTTTGTTTTGAAGTAAAAAAAAAAAAAACCTGACTCACCGGCTGCTCACTAATTAGAGTTAATTGTGTTCGAGATAATATAAGAGAAGCTGTGAAAACGCGGCGGCCTCCCAGCAGCGCCAAGACTTTGGATATTGGATGACGATGAATGGTGTTCCGGAGAGGACGCGATTGTTCGCCTGTACCCACGCTGACTGTGGAGCGACTTTCCCAAGGGAGTGGAAGCTGAAAGAACACGAGACTATGCACACCGGAGCAGTAAGGCAAATGCTTTGAATAACTCTCGCATCGCTTGTTTTCAAAGCTGGCGCATGTTAACGTGCGTCCCCACAGCGCCCGTGTCTGTGCGCCATCGCTGGATGCGGCCGTAGCTTCAAGAGGAAATGCCACCTGAGACGCCACTTGCTTCAGCACGAAGGGAAGAGGCAGTTCCAGTAAGTACGCCAAACTTAATCTGCACTTCATCAACAAGCGTCTCATTCTTACTTCTGGTGTTCAGATGCAATATTGAAGGTTGCGCAAAAGCTTTCTTCCTCGCACACAAGCTGAAGAGGCATCTGCGCGTCGCTCATGGAGATAAAGAAAACATTTTCGAGGTTTGTGTCGGCTGCGTTTGCCCACTAGATGGCGACAAAGTAGCGTTCAGTTTGAAGCCATTGAGTAACTTTAATTTTTTTAAACTTTCCTTTTGTAGTGCAGCCAACCGAACTGCGCACTCAGCTTCAAGAAGCGCAGAATGTTGAAGTTGCACTTACAGGAGCATAATGTGCCAGCAGCGTTCAAGTATGTACTAATTTGGCTTGTATTTTAAAGAAAATGCAGTTTACTACACTTTAACTGCTAATTTTTGTAACATTTTTCTAATGTTTAGTGTTTGTTCACTCTGTCTGGATGTACAGATGTACTAAAGGTGGATGTACTGCAACATTCAACTCCCATATTGCCCGCAAAGCCCATGAGAAGAAGCATGCAGGTTTGATTCCTACCGGCCGACTGCTGGCATTTCTTAATCTGTGAAAAGACGTTTTAAAATGTCGTCAGGAGGTTTTTATCTGTTTTGCATTGTCAGGTTATCGCTGCCATCATGATGGCTGCCAGGTTCTTGAACACACCTGGGGAAAACTTCTGAAACACATGGCCAAACACCCAGGTAAAAAAAAAAAAAACAAAAAAAACTTGCCATGCTTAAAAATGCAGCTGGAACAAGAGCTGGCTCAGACTGTTTGTGATGAGCAAAGATTAATTTGAGATTTACAGTTTTGCATGAAATCTTATTTCAGAAAGCGACTGGTGCAGTATCAAATTCTGAATCGCTTTAATGCGTTTCAGAAAGTCAAAGGCAAATATAATGCGACTTTCTCATCCTGAATAAGCTTTTCTCTTAGGTCAAGTCTCGCTAAAAATAATCATGTCTTGGATGCAGCGTCTGATTAATCACTTCTGCTTCACAGGTACTTTTACCTGCTCGGTCTGCAAGAAGGTCTTTAAGAAAGCCGGTTCTCTGCGCAGACACAAACGAAGCCATGCTTCCCACAAGCCCGTGCTCGTGTGTCCAAGAGAGAACTGCCAGGCCTATTTCTCCACGACCTTTAACCTGGAGCACCACATCCGCAAGGTGCACCTTCAGCTGCTGAAGTACAAGTGTTCCTTCCCCGACTGCCCTCGGATGTTCGCCATGAGGGTTGGTATCCGAAAACATCGCCTTCATAATAAACATGACTGAATTTGACTAGAATCAAATTAAATACCTTTTTTATTATCGCGCAGGAGAGTTTGCAAAGGCACCTTCTTCGCCATGATCCCACTGCCACCATAATAATGGTAACGCTTCAAAGTGTGAGATTTTGTTGAGAATTCTGTCATTTTAACTTTATTTTATCCCAACAGAAACGGAAGAGGCCAAAGAAAACCTGGCAGAAGCGCCTGAATGGAAACAGTCGGTCATTCGTCGAGGAGAACCTGGGTCGCCTCTTCGCGCTTCGAATGCGGATTTCCAGACGTGCCAAAGTGGAAGCGGACCTCTCTGGCCTGTTCAACGAACGCAAGATCCCTCACTATGTGGACCCAGAAGTCAACCTACGGGACTTGTTTGGGATCAAGCAGCCCCATCCTTTTGAGGTCCTAGAAGCTGCACCAGTGAGAAGTTAATGCACACAATGACTGCATTTTGTTTTGCTGGATTAATTGGGGCCCTTTTATTTAGTTTAACTCTAATTTTATGACTTGAGGACATGGAGAAAACTAAGTTTCTGAGTTTCTTGTACGCTGACCCAATAAAATAAGTTTGTTTAACCTAAAGCTGTTACTGACTTGGTATTCTGTTGCAGGGTCTGCCCGTCTGCAACAAGTGATCAGCTATTCATTGACCTTTAATTGCGATGCTAAGCATCTTGTTTGCCCACTCAAACAGCTGCTGTCCTCCTGCAGCCCTTGTTCGCCTGCTTGGGCTGCAGATTTTGGTTGGCGCTCAATAGAAATGAACAAAACTGCACATGACTAAACGCTGAATCACAGTAACTTTGTGGGTGGATTGGATTAGAACAAAGTCTGCATATTTGGCCAGATGAAGGCTTTGAACGCATCTGAGAAAATGGCTCAACACTTTAAACATGACTTGCTAGTTGGGACTTAAGTAAAAGTGGGTTATTTTAGCTTTCCTGGTCAGTGACGTGGATGTTCTCTGTAGCTGAAATCTTCCAGGCAAAATGAAAAGTATCAGAAGCTGTAAAGTCGAGTTCAGATTTGGGTTCAAAGATATTTTCTGTTTGTTTTGCAACTGGTTTAAATTTGGCCTTTAGGAGTGAAGATGTTTCTCGAAGCTTTAAAATCGTATCTGTAATGACCTTTAGCAGGTGAAAATAATTTTTATTCATCATTGTCTTTGAATAAATCATTGTAAGTTTCTGTTGAAAGATTCCTGCTTCAGTGAAGCAGGGTGAGCTTAATTTCAAAGATCTGTAACAGGCTGACAGATAAAGTTTGAATGCAGTTTCTCGCCCCTCTTTTGAAGGTCAATTTCTCTGCTTTTCAGCCTCCGGCTATCTGCTCAGCCGCTTCATGCCCCAAACATTGAGTTACAACAGCTGACTTGCATGTTCAGTCGAGCTCACAGTTTCCATTTGCAGTTACTCACAGCTAGCCTTAGCTGTTCTCTGAATCATCTAATTGTCTTGGGTGTACTAGCTGTAAAGCTTACTTACAAAATGAAGATAAAAGCCTCTTAATGACTGCCTCTTCAAGTTAAAATTGCTTTGGATGTGCAGTGTGGCTTTCAGTCAAATGCTAAGGAAAGCTGGATGTTTCAGAAAGGTGAACATTTTTCTTTTTAGCTTCAGCTGAAAAATTTCTGCCGTTATGACGTTTAGATGTTGCCGGCTTTCATCAGTGGCACAGAAACTGCATGTCCTGTTGCCGGTAAATAACCTGATTAGCAAATCTATGACTCGAACTGTAAACCTCAGCTTTAGGACTTTGCTTTCAGGAAATGCCATGTCGATTACCCACAAAGCATGACCTTTAACTTTTTGAGGTAGACTTTGCATCTTGTCACAAAGGCCAGAGGGGAATAAATGAAACTGAATCTTTCTCCGCCATGACGAGTTTCAAATTAGATTTCTTTGACTTTAGGCAAGACATAACTTCAGATAATTAAACTTCTGATATTTTCACAAAGTATATTAAGTAATTCTAAATTATTTTGACATTTACTGAAGAAAAACCACTTAACTATTTTCATAGGATAACATTTCTGTCCCTAGAGTTGCAAAATTTAAGCAAGTTTGATTAAATTTGCAGAAGCTTATAGTTCTACTGTGACGTTTTGAGGCATGAATTTAATATACTTTGGGTTTCCTTCATTTGAACCAGTCTCCCCTTTGGGGGTGGCTAAAAATGATGTAAGATCTAGCATCATTATTGGAAATAAGAGCTATATGAACACATTTGAGCATAATGGAGAATTTCTCTGGTACATCAAACTGGTTGGGTTAGTTCTAGTTGGATAGTTCAATAGGGCTGAGGTGTTTATTTGGTAGTTCACCTGTATTATTATGGCTGCACAGTGGTGCAGTTGGTAGAGCTGTTGCCTTGCAGCAAGAAGGTTCTGGGTTTGATTCCCAAAATAATTCTCAAAAATACACAATTCAAAATTAAGTATATATGTTATCAAGCAACCCTGAAAGAAATGGTTCAAAGACAATTAAATGCCACAAATGAGTGTAAAATCCATGCCCATGATGAATGTATTTAAAATTTTGCTCTACTTCAAAGCCCAAACGCTGCAACCTCATATCTTATTTTGCAAAATTCATTATTCAGCTGAGGCATTTTTAATTTAAATAGTAACCCACTTTTTTCCCCCAGTCTTATTCACAGAAAATCCGAAATGGAAAAAAAAAAAAAAAAAAAAAATCTGCACTCTTGCCGTGCAAAGAAAACGAAACAAGGAGATAAATCAAAGTAGGTTAACTACAGTCGTCATGTCCTGATTTAGCCTGCATGTTCCAGAATAGATGACCCAAAACCTTTAACCACTCCAGTTTCTTCTTTTCCCATGGCCTTGTTTTAAGGCTTTTCATAGCAGAAATGCACATGCACACCAAACCGACAGGAGAAAGTGGATGATGAGGAGACGCCTTCTGCACATGTGCAAACAAAATCGGCTCTTCTGCCTTCTATTATTCCTTACTGTCCTTGGCCTGTTTTACTTTTCTTTCTCTACATTTGTGACCCTGGTTGAGGATAAGTGAGTTATTGGCTGTAACCTTAGTAGCAGATTGATATGCTTCTTTAAATTGATATACATAACACGAACCAGTCATATCAGGTTTTCATTACATAAAAAATGAGACCATAATGTGATCTAGCTCAATTCAACTGTTAAAGAAATAAATCTTAGAATAAAAAAAAAAAATATATATATATATAATCTGGTTACAATAGTGGGAAACTCTTAAACTTTAATGAATCCATTTTTATTTTAATATTCTGTCTTGAGTACACACCCATCTTAAGTCATAGTGAATCTGCAAACCAGGAACAAACTGCAACTCTATTTGTATCCTTTTCACATTTTTCTCTTTCATCTTAAATCATAATTTGCAATATGAGCTTGTGATATGCTATAAGACTTAAAAGAGACTTGTAGTAGAAATGTTTCAGTCATGAAAACACCATGGCTTTTTATATCTACCACGGTGCACTGAAGACAGTCAAAGCAGAGATGCCAACCGGCTGACGGCAACGCTGAAGGAGCTCCAGGATTTCCTGCCAAGCTCTGGTTGTGTTCTACGTGTGATAAAAATCTTCTCTTTTTTTTTGTTTTCCAACATGTCTGGACAAATTAGTAGCAATGCAAAACGGAAACCTTTTCTTTCAAAGAAAACATTTAAGTTTGGCTAAAATTGACCTGACGAAACCAAACTCAACTTTGAGTCACCATTCCAAAAGATATGTTTAATACAAAAACCACTCAGCAGTCCTCAGAGAAAATCATAGTGCTGGCAGCATCATAAACTGGGATTACTTTTCTTTTTATGGAACTGTTATTTTTTTTTTCAAAACAAGAAAATGTTCCAAATGCTGTCCAGTTTTGACTGAAAATCTTTGCTGCAAAATTGCAGTTTAAGCATCACAGTGAAACTAAACATGCATCCAAAACAACAAACGAATAACTGAATGAGAGGGAAAATGAATTTAGACTGATATGGCCAGAGTTCAGAACTACATTCAGTCAAAGGTCTGTAATGTCTTGTAAAGAGGACAATAAGTGTCTGGTGCTTCTGCAAAGCGTTTGGGAAATGCATTCAAAATGTCAGACGCTGACAGATTTCTCTGAAAAATACAAACTGATGGAAAATGTCAAAATGTTCTTCAAAAAGTATTATTTTCAGGATTCACAAGCATAACATATCAGGTTGTTGCCTTGATAAATGTCACATGTTTGGACTAAGTTTTGAAATTGACTCATTATTTCATCACAGAACCTGGCATTTTAACAAGGTTAGGAAAAAAAATCTACAGGGAAAAAGTGGGAAGAAATGAATGCTCACAATCTGATCAAAAGCTTATATTTTAATCAAATAATTTCTTGACCTTTCTTAAAAGTTTAAAGAAGGTGGATTTTAAACTAATCAGAAGTCCTAAGACCACATTTTACTCTTAAGAAGGGGAACTAATGCAGACGTTAGTCTCGAGTTCATTTGAAAATGTCCCCTTGGCTTTGGCCATCTACCACAAACAGAACAAAGAAAGCCTTATGTGGTCCAAAACCAGGCTGCTGTGTCGCCTCTTGCTTGAAACTGACTTTGGTATTAGTGGTTACCCACTATGCAGATTCCTCTGGAACGGGATGTACAAGGAAAAAGCAAGCCTTGCTAGTTAAGCTGAAGCTTGTCTTCCCAGTTTAATTGGATAGGGAAGAAGAAAAAAAAACAGTTCAGCAGCAAGAAGTATTTTGCCAACCTAATCGACAACTCTAATCAGTCACGGTTCTGATCTGACAGACGAGGCTTCTTGTGGTTCTGATTCTTTCTAAGACGGATGAGCCATAGTGAGGTTGCCACGACTGGTCAGCCAATCAGAGATGGAATTTGGTGAACATGTTGCATTACACAACCAACCAGAAACAACTGAAACTTTTTTTCATTCCTCATTTCTTTGAGACAAAGACATAGAAACTATTTTTAAAAAGCTTTGTCTGTGCCTGTTTTAAAAGTAGACTGAAAATCCTCCCATCTTCTGGACTTGATGGGCAGGATTTCTCCTGTATCTAGTGCAAATTGCAGAATAAAGATGGAGAATATGGTGTACTTTCAGTGCTGATAAGCATAATAAAAAATGCTGAAGATGGATTCCAGGCTGGCCTTCATGCTTTTAATTAATCTAACATACAACATTAAAGGAGTGGACTTACCGGATTCAGTGGCGTATCTGTATGAAGCTCGCTGACGACTGCAAATGACTGTGACTCACCATTGATGGCTTATTTCCACTTTCTCTACCTTTCCTACTCGGACGATTATGCAGAATATACAATGTATTCATAAATATAAACAGCTTGCAAAGCAGTACACGTGCACACCTGCTTGGTGTAAATTCTCCAGAGGATTTTCTGCTGTCTCAACAAAATATATACTTAGGAAATGCAGACTGCTTCGCAACCCAACCAAGATCATTTCAAGAAAGGTTACATTTTCATCCTGTGGTTTGTGTTTCAAACTGCATGCAGCACTCACAGAAATTAGTGGTTATTTTTGACTGGATTTTGCAAGACTGTAGGTACACAGGTTAATAATTTCATTTTGTTGCATTAATTGTGAAGCACAAGTGTAAAAAAAAAATTATGGAACGTTTGATTCCAGCTAGAAAAAAAAATTAAAAATAAACATCTGACACACAAATTGGATAATAAAATTTTATTTTGAAAGTAAGATTAAAATGACTCCTTCAAAAGACCAACTTTTACCGTTTCTTGATCCCACAGCAGAGACCTTTTATTGAACTAATATGTCATTTATTTCACCCGTGTCTCGTTCCCCGGGCTGCGTTTGAGCCGTCTAACCCCGACTTTACCCACTGTTTGCTTTGAGTGAAATTTTAATAGTGCCTCAACTCCATGAGCAACGATAAAACTTCAATAAAGCAGAGACAGCATGTGGACTAATAAACCTTAGTGGTGTATTGTATCACATACGGCAGCAAAAAAAATTTGCCAACGCAAATTGATCTGGTTTTCAAATGGGCTTTGCAGGCAGGAGTCCTCAGTTTCTAGGAAACTGGAACAGACACAGCAGTGACCAGCAAGCTGAAAGTCATCCAAGAAGACAGAGATTGATAGTGTTTGTTTTTTTTACTTCAGACAGTCTGATATTTGTGTGGAAGCTTTTTTTCTCCAGTGGACCACTGCATAATT